TGACTGATTAACTGGGAATAGCACTTTGAAAATCAAATTTCAATAAGAGAGTTAATATCAGTTTTTACCAGAAAATAATATCAGACTTACTAATAATTTTTGTAAACTGCTCCTTAGTGATTTGCTTCTCGTTACTTTCCTCAACTTTCTTCTCAATCTCTTGTATATCGTTAGCAGAGACGAATTCGCCAAGACTTTTTAAATCCGCCTGAAATGTTCTTATGTTTACCAAAAAAATTAGATATTAATGACGTTTTATTTCGAAACGATATAGATGCATTGATCTAATTTAACTTACTGATATGATGTAACCTTTTTCATCCTTGTCACACAAATCGAAAAGTTTCTTTGCCTTAAGAAGATGAATTAAGAAAAAAATATGTAGAAATTCGGAAGAGTGAACCTAGCTGACCTGTTCTCCAACGATAGACTCATCAGATGAGGAGTCCAGTATGATTTCTTGGTCTTCCATGCAACTGGCCCTGGAAAATTTACAAAGCTTTTGCACAAGTGCAAATGAGAGATAACTTGCAGCGCAAACAAGAAGCACAATCACGAAGCATTCTCCTATGAAATGCATTTCAAAATGCTTTATTACTTTTAAACGGGCAAACAAATACAGAAGCGATTGTGACAAGCTGAAGCAATTCCTATCGATCCAGTTGAATACAGAATCGGGAACGTACATAATCGAGAAACGGGACGTGGGAAGAGATAGCGGTAAAGACGTATATTTACTAAAGATCAAATCAAAAGAAGTGCAATAGAATATCTACAGCTATCGCTTATTTGAAATGAAAGATGTTTCTTAAAAAGGCCAACCAGATGGCGAATGAATAACTGAATGATTAAATGAGTGAATGATTGAGTGAATAGATGAATGTAGAGTGACGATGCGTAAATGAATGAATGATTGCATGAATAGATGAATGATCTAATGAATAAGGGAATAAAAGCGTATGCGATAATGAGTAAATCATGAGAACTCACTCTTGTTTGTTTCTCGTGAAAAATCCTTTGTTTGTTAAATTTTTTGAACTTAAGACGGCATCAAGTATCGGAAAATTAGGATCTCGGTTAAAAATCATTTCCAAGAAAAATTTGTTTTACAAAGAGACTTTTTCGATTTCCTCATAGGAATTTTTTAGTTTCGAAGTTTATTCTAAGAATCAATGTAATAAAGTATCGAGAGTGTATATGTAGGCGTGGGATATAAAACAGCACAAAAACTTTCAATTTTTGACGCCTTTAAGCTTGAAAAAAACCAGAGTATCCAACAATCCAAGATAAAAATGACGTGTTCAAAGGGCATGTGCTAAGCATCGCATTTAAGCACCCACAGCCCATGATCTTCTGAAAAAATTCGTTACACATACACCAGATAAGCGCGGAAACATCTGAACACATAACGAACTAACTTGGGGTGATTGAGGTTGAGTTAAGTCAGGTAGACATTAAGCCTGACGAAGCAAACATTGCCAGACGACTAGAAGAAGAATAAAACTTTAAATTCTGTCAAAATTCTCTAGAAGAACAAAATCTAGCACGAATCTTCCCAACTCTTTTCTTTGATTATGTTTATCGACCAAATATGATTTAGGTGTTTATTCCTCCCTAATTAATTTTGGCTTCAAGCTTTTCATAAAAGGTGGTTGATGTAAATAGATTTATTTTTAGAATAAAACAGCATATGCGTTCTCATATAACCACATCTGTTCACTTTAGAAAAAGTTTCATATATAGCTCAGAGCTTTAGGGTTGGGCATAGAATCAATTTGTTTCCTTTACATTTCAAGCGTATCTTTTGGGTATAAGACTTCATACTTGAAGTACTACAAAGAAAGCATAGATGATGACTTCGGTAGACTTAATTACCTACTACAGAAAACATGTCTAGTGAAAATGTAGGATGGATGAAGAGAGACGTAATGAATTAAGTAGCTCTTCAGCAAAAGTGCATCATGTAGCACTTC